AAATCCAAATAACACTATCCAAATTCAAATCCGTATAAACCATGTTGTTGACAAATAAAATTGACAAAATGATTAAACTACATATGTGATCTATTTAAATAAAACATCTTCCTTTTTAGTTTAATTAAAAATTAAAAATTACCGATGAAATCATCCACGATCTGATTCAGTTTCATTGCTTAAAGATGAAAGTCAGTCAATGGTGGTAGCAGCACTATATATGGGAAAAGGTCATCCACTTTTCTCAACCATAGCCATTAGTCCAGACATGACAAGAGTTGACTCGTAACCCAAAAACATTAATTGTTTCTTTAATTAATATTGGATCCTTGTCAATTATTATCTCCATTTCAAAATATTTATCATTCTAAATTATTTCACAAATATTAAAAAAACATATTAAAATTTCTATTATACTTTTAAAAAAGAAATTGACTCTTGATGTTTTTCATAAAACTTGCGGTTAAATTCGACATTTAAAGCTAAATTTTACATTTGAAAACTGAAAATAACAACTAATTTGAAACAAAAAAATTAGTCCTAAAATGACAACTCTTTTAAAACAGAGGAAGTATAAAAAACTTGGAAATGATATCGGGTGTAAATAGTATCAGCATAATCTGGCGGAATTGCGAAATCTGGCAGAAATTTTGATAACTATTTGCTGAATCTAGCAGGATAACGTTGAATGCAAATGCAGCTGAATCTGGCAAAATGTGGCAGAATTTTGAATGTAAGTTAATAAATTAAAATTATGAAAATATTTAATAAAATTTTGTTTGTCAAAATTAAATATTAAAATTTATAAATATATTAATTTTTACGAATATAATAACCTTTTATTGATTATCTCCCAAACCCAACTTATTTTGTTAATATTTTCATTTTATAAGCTTATTTAGTAATATTTACAAATATTTTTTATTATTAACTAATACTTTTTACATTTATTTATGTTTGTAATATTCGTAAATTATTTTAAAAAGAAAATTACGTTGTCTATTTGGTATAGTTTACACCTCCTAATCTATTGTATCATGATTTTTATTTTTTAATATTCATATCTTATCCATGCTTCGATTTTACATATTCTAATTATTCGATCAGTATTTGCTATTATTCGATAATTTTTTTCTAATTGAAATGCGTAATATTATGATATGATGAATAACTAACTAAACATTTTTTTTTGCTAAAAATAACTAACTAAACATAATAATAACATGTAAGTAATTTTAACATTATATTTGTGAGTTAGCTCATAAATCTAATTTATTCATCAATAATTTGATATTTCTAATATTAATAATTTATTCTACAA